CTGGTGAAATAAATAATTATGCGTTATTAGCTTCTTCTTTGTGTAGACGAGGAGTCAATTTTAAGACAAGGGAGTGCGGAGTGGTTAATACAGGTAAACTGGATAGAAATCGATGGTCCATCTATCATAGGATATCAGATAATGGGAGCGTAGGCCCTAGCGATCGTGTACCCTTTAAGAGCAATCTGGGTAAATAAGGTCGTCGGTTTTAATACCAGAATGGATAACACAGTCAGGAGACAGACAGCCACATCAGAACACTTGATGACAACAAGTTAACTGGCATCGCCACTAATGAAGTTCACATTGCAAATAGATATGTCTGGATGGCAGATCGGTCATGGCGTCCATGACATACCGGCTCTGCGGATATTAAGTGTCTTTAGACTTTGAAGCATAAGCCGGGGCATAACTTCAAAGGTTTAGGCTACTTGCGTCTCTATGCTGTCCTCTGTCTGAACTCGATTGACCTCCTAGTATTCTTCCTGTTAAGGTAACTTACAGAGGGACAATCAACGAAATTGACAGAGCACTAAAAATAGGAATATGTTGGCGATCGGGTTGTACGGGCGGTAGTAGCAAGTTTCAAAACCACGACCTGACAACTGTGATTATAACAAGCGCATGCAGGCGCAGTTTGTTTAAACGCACAAGGCCCTGGCGAAAAGGCGGGCGATCTATAAAAGAAAGTTTTGAGAATGAACAAGTAACTTTGTGTGTGGTAGCCGACGGTGATTAACTGTGAGCGTGCGTCGGCTTCAATAAAACAGTTAGAAACAGTTCAATCGTGCGCAGTTCTGCTACATTTTTCTGACGACGTAGGCAAGAACGCGTAGCGCAACATGCCACATCCGCTTGGCTGCACACTAGTGCGCCACGACAAGTAGTTTGGAAGATAATGCTCTAAGCAGTAAATGCAGCCCTAAATTGGAGGTTATTGGATGAAGGCTGCGGCCAAATCGACGATGTGCTTGGATAGCCGCAAGAACTTGGAAGAATTCAGAAAATTCGAGGATTTTTTTGTAAATGTTTGCAGCATGGAAGAACCTAAGGCGCGTCTTTGGTGATTTGCGCATAAACAGAGGGTATTTCACGAACATTATGAGTGGTAAGTGCGGATAAATGCAAATATTGTCATACAAAATCATGGATTGGTCCTACTAAGGAATCATAGAGGACACAGCTTTACCTCGTGTTGCACGCCGGAAAAGATGCTACTGCCCAAAAACACCTGACTGTAGGTCACTGACCCGACTATGTGGAGCTTCCAACACCCTGGTCCTCGGGTTCTTATCGAGGCAGCGTTGTTTTCTACAATACCGACCGCTAGATTGCAGACTCAATCGGCCGGTGCAGTAAACCTTACTCGAAGAATAATAAAGTTTGCGTTTCTCCTAGAATAAAACTGCTTTTCAAATGGAGTAGGCATGCAGTCGGAGGGCCCGTAAAAATGCGACTGCCTGTTTATTTTTAAAAAAAAACGTAAAAC